AGGCACCTGACGTTACTTATTTTTCTTTTAATAAAAAAAATATATACACATTATTAGGTATGTGTATATTTTTCTATTAAAAGAAAAATAAGTAACGTCAGGTGCCTGTGTCTTAGGCCTATCTGTAAACTTGTACATTTTTGATTTCTTCTCAAAAACCACAAAGCCAATTTTTACCAAACTTGCCACGAAGCATCCTTGGGAAAAAGGGATTAAAATACAATGTATCTGCAAATGGAGGTCCCACCTCTTTCAAGGGGGGATAAGTAAGAATTTGTGAAAATTTTTTGGTAGTCTTTTCAAGAACCAAAAACATATGAAACCTTTTTTCATAGTGTAGATTCATTTGCTCAAATCATGACCTCACAAGGAAGGGTAAGCCACAATGGGGAATCAAAGTTTTACATATTAATATGAAAGCATTTTTAGGCTCAAGTTTGTTCAAATCATGACTCCAGTGGGTTGGAAGGGGCCATGATGGGAGAAACTCTAGGAAAGACAGGTATATGAAAATATATGGAATAAATCTCCAGAACAGCTAAGCATTGATTTTTCACAGGTAGTTTAGATCAATGATAGTTCAAAGCATGGCCTCCTGGGTTAGGTTTGGGTAACAATTCACCATTAGGGTTTTAAAATATAGAGTTATAATGAAAAATATCGCCAAATCGTGTTCTTAAGAAAAGCAAAGCCATAGGTTGTAGCATTGATGTGGAACTCCGAAGTACTTGAGGTATAGATTTAAGTTTGTTTAAAAAATCTGATGTTGATGAACTACAGGGACATATCGACTCAGGTGAGCGTTATGACCCATGGGTCTCTTGTTAACAATTATCGTCATTATCAATAATCTTATTTGGTCAATGTGTTTGACTTTACTGTCTTTGTTTTTCAAATAAATAGCAATGGATTCACGGAATCGCCGACCCATCTTCTCCTTTGTGGTTGCTAAGTTGTCAACAGCTGTTGTCAAAGAAGATGATGAAATCACAAGCTCTATTCGAAACGTATTCTCCGTGAAAACGAATCCTGCATCTCAAGAGGAGAATAATTTCTCTGCTGCAGCATTCACAGACTTCCAAATAGGACAGTTGATTGGGCAAGGTTGTAATGCTGCTGTGTATGAAGCAAGGTTCAAGAATGAAGAGATTAGAAGCTACATACCTGATGAGCAATCCTATAAAACAGATGAAACAGATGAGTTAACCGACACAGAATCAAGTTTCGAAGTCATAAATGAGTCCGATGATGACACTGAAATTATACCCGAGGAACCTGATTTTCATTTAAAGGGAAACGATCCAGATATTTCTACCACTACTATCAAAGAATCTAATGAGAAACCACTTTTTCAAAAAGAGGAAAAATATGACCTGGCCATTAAAATGATGTTCAATTATGATTTTGAATCCAATGCTGATGTCATATTTAGGGGAATGATGAAGGAAATGATCCCTGCAAGGTTTTTGCAACAACAGGAGGAAAAGTCTATTTGGCTGACCAGAAATCGAGTGAAACTCAAAAGTCTTCCTCCTCACCCAAACATTGTGGACATGCAAGGCATCTTCATTGACGACATTCCAAAGATCGAGAGTGATGATGAAAGGTACCCTGCGGCCCTTCCAACAAGGTTAAATCCAGACGGTGGACATGGGAGAAACAAAACCCTCTTCTTGGTGATGAAGAAATATGACATGACTTTGAAGAGCTTCCTTTCAGAAAATGACGTCAACTTGAATATGAGGTGCTCTCTGCTAGCCCAGTTATTGGAAGGAATTGCACACATGACAGAACATGGCATAGCACATAGAGACTTGAAAAGTGATAACATTCTGGTAGATGTCTCCAGTGGGTATCCACAACTGGTGATAAGTGATTTTGGTTGTTGTTTAGCTGAACCGGATTATGGACTAATGATCCCATACAACACCAGTAACATTGACAAAGGGGGGAATGCTGCGTTAATGTCCCCCGAGATAGCAACAATGGAACCCGGACGGAATGCTTGGCTTGACTACAGAAAGTCAGACATTTGGACTGCTGGAACATTAGTGTATGAGATATTTGGAGAAGAAAATCCTTTTTACAAAGGCCCTTTCAATAGTAGTTCATACAAAGAGGAAAGCTTACCACCTCTTCCAGCGGCAGTACCAAAACCAATAGTAAAGCTGACAAAGCAGTTACTGAAGAAGGATCCTAATCTTAGACCGAGTCCGAAAGTTGCTGCAGATATTGTACAGATGTGTATTTTATTCCCAGAATGGCTGAACCAGAATGAATCTCCACCATTGGAGATGATAAAGGTTTCAGTTGTTTGGTTGGCCGTTACCCATTTACTGAAAAGAGATGCCAAAAAGGATAACTCTACCAAAAGCTTTCTCAAGAGAATTGACTTTACATCTATTTCGAACTCTTTAGCTTGGTATCATTCTCTGTGATCCAGATTTGCTTATAATATTCAGATCCTTTGCTGTTTAATTGTTTTAACAACACTTGTTTATTTCACTATTAAACAAAGATGATTATGTATTGAAATTTTTAAATTATTGTTTATGAGGCACATATTAATTGTTCTGCATTAATTTTAATTTTTTTCTGTTAATCCGTAAATCCCAAGTAGCTGCAGGGGTCAATTTGAACAAATATGAATCTCCACAATTCAAAGATGCTGGCATACATACTTGCTTTGAAATGACTTATCATGGAAAAGTTTGTTTTTTTTTAGATGTTCGGCTGTACATAATTTCCAGAATTTTTCGAAATATTCAACTTTTCATTTCAGACATTTTAAAGTTTTTCATCTCTTGCATTTTAGTTTTCATCTTAGACAGTTTTCAGGTAGCACATTTTTTGCACTAAATGTAAGATTTTAAGAAACCAAACTTGCCACAAAGCATCTTTGGATGGAGGGGATTCAAGTTTGTTCAAATGAAAGGTCTCGTCCTCATTCAAGGGGAGATAATTAAGAAAAACATGCATATGGAAACTTAGTGGTGAAAAAATTCTTCTTCACAAGAACCACTGTGCCCGTAAAGGTTAAACTTGGTTTTTAACAGAGTTATGCCCCTTTGACCTAGGAAATTCCCAGTTATTTGCAGTTTCCATTCATTTTTGCTGCATGCATGTCCAGGGGGAGGGGGTTTACAAATTAACTTCTCGTATTTTTTATAAAATCCAGACAAACATGATACTGATGCGACTATAATTCATATTAAAGTGTAGTTGTTTTCTTGCAATCAAACTTGTTGAGTATTTATTATGCATTGGGTTAATATTCAAGATTCAGGGGAATATTTTAGTCTATCTGTTAATCTGTCTGCATAAATTTTACCAAACTTTATCCATGGCAAAAACTTTTAGTTACAGGCTTTTATATATTTAACATGACTCATGAGTATTTCATGTGATCAGAATGTCCTACGGTTAATTAGGTAGTACATGTACTACATTACCCATATTCTCTTATACTTAGGACTTTGAACTACTTTTGAAAATCTCAAGACCGTAACTACCATTGAGGCAAGTGAGGCAAATGCCTCACTATATTTTTAGAGTTTTATGAAAAGTGAGAAAGTTTTACCTTGAACTTATGAATTACTAGTATGTGTGTCTTCGCGCTAAATTAATATTTTCTACTTTTGTTTCAATTTCTTTAAATCGTTCATCTCACCAGGTGCCTCATTTTCATTTAGTATGCATGTAAAGTATAATTCAAAATGGTTTTTTTTGTAAAATGTTTAACATCCTTTCAAAGAATTTCTCATTCATATTGAGACACCACTACTTGCCGGTGGAAGGCTGTAAGATTTAGATCTGTACTGGGCTTTCAGGGTCATTGAAGATGATTGAACAGTGAGAGATCTTTTTGTGCCATCACTTACTGTGACAAAGGACCTTTGTTTTTACGGTCTCATCCGAAGGACCTGTCTTTACATCCCGCAGTGGGATTCGAGCCCGCGATAAAAGGATCAACTCCTTAGTCTGCGACTCTAGAGCATATGCTCTAACCACTGTGCCATGCGGGTAACAACTCAAAATGTAAAAACTTTCTAAGGTTAAATCTTTTATTTTCTAATACCCAGGTTTCAGGATCCCCCCTACCCCTGGAAACCCCCATCACTGGCCATCAGGTACTACCCTTGCCCCGTCTGGGACTAGGAAAACACAGCACCCTTGCCTCACTAAAAATTTGAGCCTAGTCACGGCCTTGAAATCCGTAACCTGGATGGTTAGTGTCAGGACTTTCGTATGTTACATGACATTCCTTATGAACAGACATGTAATAACCCATGCTTTAACCAATTGCAATTTTGGAAGATATATAAGAATCGCCATATCTGATTACCTGCCTGTCAGTGCAATTTTGTTCAGGCCATAACTTTCGTAGAAAGAAACACTGCTGGGAAGCTCACCCTTGGTACAGGGATTGCTGGTGACACGATGGTGTGTCTTAATCTTGACCAAAGGTCATTCTGACAAGGTTTAAATGTGCTTTATTTGGCATATACTGTAGATCCCTAAATTTTCGAGACACCTTATTTTTCGCGAGATTGTCATTGACTCTTTGTAAGCGAGACATAATTTTCACGAATAGTTGTTATTCCTCTATATAATCATAAGGAATACTTATTTACGCGAGAATTTAATTTTCGCGAACGCAATGTCTCGTGTAATTACGCTGAAATAATGTTCAAGCGAATGAAAGTGATTTACAGTAAACTTGGAAAAGTACTGCGCAATGAAAACCACAGTCGGTCCCTTGAGTCAACTTCAAGATTCTGAAGACTGAAATCTTTAAATGAACTCTGAACAATGGAAAATTACTTCATTTATGTAGAATTTATGTAGGGCATAAATATAAAACATCCCAGAGATATAAATGTGGCCATAGTGGGTCAAGGTTTTAATTCAAATATATTGGGAAAAATTTCCCACTAGAATCTTTCTTATATAACATCTATGTAGGACACGCTTATGACCATCAATAAAAATATGCCATGGTAACAACAAAATAATTTATTATGAGTAAAGACATTTAAAAATACATCTTACAAAATTATATAATAGATGAATATGATATGAAAGTTAATGCTTAACAGTTAAATAAGATTAAAAATTTGATATTTATCATTGCACATTAATACTCCGAGTCATCGGTCTGTTTTAGCATTAAAAATGTCACTCTCCTCGGATTCTGAGTCGTCAGCTCTCAACATTTCCATAGTCTCTTCCTGGGAAAGTCTAGTTTCATTTTTACTGCTGCCACGAGCTGTAAAGTGAAAATAGAAACTAAACTATGAGTTCAAGAGGGTATGCATATTTGATGGGCATTTAATATATTGTGATATATTCAAGAGGATTGGAGTTCACATGTCAATAAAAGTGTCAACAAAAGATTTCAGATGCAGAATTTTATACTTGGATATGGTTTTTTTTAAATTTTATTTTTAACTGCTATGTACATCAGTTGTAATTTGCCAAGTCCTATTGAGCATGCCTGGTCTAAAAAGGATAAATTTTGTTATCCAATTGTCTTGCAATTCATATATGATTGCCACCACGACAAAAGGTCCTTATGGCAATTTTTCTAGAACAGAGAAATAACGTCATAAAGATATGACGTTGCAGACGGTGAGCGTCGTCGCAGATTTTTTTTTTTTATACACGTGTTTACGCTTTGACACGTCTATCTTTTTTGTGGTTCTTGACCATTGTATATAACATATGTATAATAAAAGATATTAATTTTTTTTATGTTTAATTCTGAATTGTTATGTTGCATACTCTAGTCCAGGCCACTGGTATTAATTTAAAAGAATTTGAGACCGTTTCGCTACATCGATCTTGCTATATCGCTATATATAAATGTCTCTGATCTATTGATTTCCTAGCTATGCATGTATAGACGGCGCTTATATAGACAAGTAATTTTCTAAATAATTTAATATGGGTGAAAAAATGCAAATATTTAATTTACTGGTATAGACAAAATTGAAGTAATGTGTAAGGCACGGGTATTTTATCAAAATATTTGAAAGGAAATCGTTTCCGTATATGAGATCCGCCCCAGCATTCTCAGTTACATCAATCATGTAAACATTGAATCATCTGTGCATGTTCTCCCATATTTTTGTTGTTAAATACTTTAATGCTAAAAGAATTTGAAACCTAAACACATTTCCTCCTACAGAGACGAAAAGTATCCTTATAAGTTTCCCAAATCTTGCAAAATAATGGAATTACAGAGGCGAAATTTTGTAAATAAAAACAGGAGCGGTAACTCTGACAATCGATCGAAATACTAAAGGGGTACCAGAGAGGGTCATTCATTTAAATTTAATTTATAATTTTAGTTTTCAACTCACAATCTTAATTGAAATTTGCTCCCGTAGTATAAAAAATATTTTTTCAAACATGTTATTTATTAGCGGTTCAAACGTTTTACCATGTATTTGAAAAAAAGTGTTTAACACTACGAAAACTATATATTTTAAAACAATATAGTCCTAGAACAGAAATAGATGCAAAATTGAATCAAACTTTCAACAAAATATGTTATATTCATGCCTATCTACTTATTTTGACATGAATTTATCTGAATTTAATTAAATTATTTTTTTCACTAATGATGCTCATAAATTAAATGAAAAAAGTTGAAAAATGTTGTTCAACATTATTTTTGTTGTTGTTTCTTTCAATTAATATTAACAAGCAAAAACTACCTTTGGAAATACAATTGTTTTAAACGAAAGATAGATCATTCTTACATTCATGTAGTTATTTGATAAGAGAGAGAGAGAGTGAGATCATCATCTTATATTTAATCGACTTTTTGGATAAAGAAATGAAATTTCAATGAAAAATCGAATTTTCAAAGCAACAGAATATCGGAAAATGAAAAAAATCTCTATTGGTTTAACTATATCTATTTATTTTAAGGAATGTTAAAACTTTTGTTTAAAAAGTTTTAGCTTAATCTGCAGATTTAAGTGGATCACATACATGTATGTCAAAACATTTAATCCGTGTGACTGTCATTCGTAGTATACATCATATGTCATTACAGTTGTATTACCAATTAATCTATAACTCGTTTTATTTTTGAAGCTAAAATACATCAGTTATTGGTTTGTATGATGTAATTACCCAAATTGCCTTGAAAAAATGTAAGCGAAATTATTTTATTTTAGGAATTTATAGGTAAAAAAAAATTCCTGTGATAAACATTACATTAGAAAACAATAACAATGGCAAGTGTAAAGAAAGAGCAAGAAGGTTAGAATTCTATACACGCAATCACATAACACCATCTCGTAAAAAAAAAAATTCCAACCAGTAATTTCTTGACATGCAAAGATAAAATTAAACGGATAAAAGAATAAATAAAAAAAAAAAAAATAAACTCATTTCGAAAAGAAAAAAACTAAATCGTATGTGTTAGGGTGGGTGTGTGCGTGTGTATGGAGGGGCAGGGGTTAGTCCTCGGCTTCTTTTTACTTCATATCGGCCAGTGACTTTTCATACCAATATCACATAGATCCGTGCTTTCTAAGAGAGCTACGCCTATTCTAATAAAGGGGGATTTTTATTTGGTTAAGTAAAAAAAAATAATAATTCTGCACAGTCTGTGCGCCTAAGCGCAGACCCCCCCCCCCCCCCCCCCGACTCCCTCTAGATCCACGCATGGATTGTATGAATATTAAATTTCCAATTAAATTTTTGACTCCTCCCGGAAAAATTCTTTTAATTGATCTAGAACAACAAGGAGTTCATAATTATTATACTCCCGCTTGAAAAAATGGAGGGTACATGTATACTGAAAGGAAAAAGAAACGCAGGGTAAACTTTCGAGATGAATGAAATTTATTTTTCTTTTAATTATTTTCAGTATTCCTATCTAACTTTTAAAATATTCTTTCAAAAAGATGTAACCAAAATCCTATTGGATTTTGTCTAATAATTCATGAGTTATTGAAGCTCATTTGACGATACCCCCCAAAAGTGAAAATCGAAATCTCTCATTATCTTCAATGTCTCTCCTGCGCATCTGTCAGAGCCTTATTTCTCCTTTGCATGGAATTCGTCAGAGTGTTTATCTTTCAAACCCTGGCTATATTGGGTGTGGGTAACCACGCTAAAAAATTAGTCAAAAGACGCGCGCATGCGCCAGTTAAAGGAACACAACAGTAAGTTGACCGGCGCAAAAAACCAAATTGCGGAATTGTTTTCTTTCGTTTTTCGTGTAAATGTATTGATTATGATAGTCTACTGTATAAATGGCGGTTTTTGTGGTAGTAAGGTGGCGATTTAAGAGAAGGCAGGACGAGTAACCCGCTCGTAACATGACTATGTTTCGCGTTAACGTCATCGTCACGGTTGATTGAAAACCATCCCAGGCCCTCTCTGACAACGGGTAACAAGTTTCTTGGGGGAAAATTTTCAAGAAACTGCCTAGTTAACTATTGTTTCCCTTTTCATTAATTAGGCAATTCGAAAACAAGACCCCATGGAACTTCCGTATACTGTACCAAGGAAGCAAGAAATTCATGTCGTCTCTAAATATTGAAAAACGATGTGCATACCTCAGATGCATCAAATGATGCAACAAGATTTGTTGACAAACTCGGCGTCATCAAATTGCACGTGTTTTGGGCTTTTTAGCGTTGTTCCTACGTGACGTCATACAATTTACGGATGAGTAATTTTGAACACTGATATTTATGCAGAGTAACTAAATTTCTCATCTGACCAATTTTCGTAATTTTCGGTCATCCGGTTAAAAATTTATCGAATATAATATTACCCTGCGTTTCTTTTTCCTTTCAGTATATATAGTGATCTGTCTTTTACGCTTCGGAATACCCATCTTTTATCCGCAACTCCTCTTATACCAAGGTTTGAATTTTGTTGAAACTCAATCCACAGATTCTTTGTTATATAGTGCCCTTATGCACCTCCTATTTTACTTTCTGAACGGTCGCATATTTCGGATTTCGCATAACAAAACATGGACACTGCCATTCTTTCCAAAATATTGAAGGGTACCCCTCTCTCATCCGCAAGAAAAAAATAATGGTACTTTCACTGATTCTTTATTATACATAATGCCATTGTGCACCTCCTATTTTATTTTGTATTCTGACGCTTAAACTTATTTCGTGTTTTCAAGAGATAAAAAAACATGGATTTTGCCATTATAAAGGTATGGGAGGCGGGGGTTAATAAGCTCAGTGCTTACAGTATCCCTTGTTTATGATTTAATATTTACATTTTCAATGTCTTTGTCCGAGATAAAATTACAAATAGTAAAAATAATGTATTTCTACATAAATCTACTGGTTCAATGATAGGTGCGGTTTAAAAAAAAATATGTAGGGAGTGGGACAAATAATGACAGAAGCGGGACTTGTAGCACCTATCACGCAAGCCACTCGATTGATCATATCATGAAACAAAAGCAAAATAAATTAGACAGTTTTTCCTTAATTTAATGGAATACTGTTATTCTTTTCGATATTATAATAAAAAATAAGTACAAATGGATTTTATTTGATATTAGGATAAAATGGTTTTATTAAATGAAATTATATAAGCAAAAATTGTTTTAAGAAATAATTAGATACTCAGTATTTGTAAATGTATATATAGATTTGGAATATGTGTTCTTCTAAAACTATTTAGTTTTACAAAATAAAAAAAACAACTGAAATTGGTGTACAGTGTATGCAATAATAAATTACATTTCACATTTTTTCCGTCTTTATATTTAGAGAGAAAAAAAACACGAATAAACAAATTTTTACAACCCAGTAGCATCTTGTTCATTGTTGTTCCCGATGACTTTTTTGAAATTTTTGTTTAAACTTCCACATATCTGGAAAGCTTTATCTCGTTATACTGTATTCAAATAAAAAAGTTGACACCTTGACCTGTCGAGGGTCATGATTTTCGAATGAATTTTGTAAGCTTCTCAAACAATTCTTTACATAAAATAAATATTTTAGTATTGTGATAGTAAATTGGTATTGAAAAAAGTTCTTTGCTTCTCACACCACAGCGAAATGTAAAACAAACAGTTACTTTCATTGATTGATTATACATACATCTATTACTATTAAATTATTATAGGTATTATACAATTAATAAAATAGAAAATTTATCAAGTAAAAAAAAAATTCTGGAAATGCTCATTAATTTAAATCCTTATCATAGTAACGTTACCATGAAAAGTCAAAATCGTGTTCACTCTGAAAACTTGACGTTTGACGTTGGGCGAAAGTAAAATGACGTCAATATTTACCTGTTAAAGTATCAACAATATAAATGAAGAAAAAACATACTTAGAGTTGACGTAGGGCCACAAAAATTCATATTCAGTAACTTCTAACCTTGCTTTATTTGAATCCATAAAAAAACTCAAAAGTGTAAAAATTGCCATAAGGACCTTTTCTCATGGGGCCAATCATATGCTACTGAATTCTTTTTCATGAGGTTGATTTTAAGGATCTTACCACTAACAGCTTTGACAATGACATGAATTGAGATCCCAGATAAACAGACAATAAGACCAATTCCATTAATGAAATTCATCTTATCACCATTAACACTAGCTGCTAAGTACAATGTGCACACCTCCTACAATGAAAAAATGTAACTTCATTGAATAAAGAGAAGTAAATGTAAAAGTAATTTCTTCTCAAGAAAAGGAAAGCAGTATAGTAGTAGTAGTAAAATGTAAACTAAATAAATGTTCAAGAATTCTTTTGAAAAATATCTTTTTAATTTGCATGTTTTGCATGCCACTTTTGGGATATTCCATAAGAAACAAAAACAAAAGGCCCATGGGCCACATTGCTCAGCATCGTCGGAGACCCACAGGTGATATCTTCTTTACTTATCACCTGTGGGCAAACTCGACCAAAATTTTTTTTATTTAATTAAATATGTGTGGGTCATTTGATTAGCTGCTTCAGAGAGTTGCAATGGCAAACAAAGAGTTACAGTTCACGTTACGTCTGTCTGTTTGGCAATGCCAAAAACTTATTTTGGAGTTAACAAATTAGCTAATAATTCCAATCACCGGCACATTTTGCAGTTAGAAAGAGGTACCCCTATATAATATCTGACTGGGATTAATGACTGTGATCTGTACGAATTGACTTTAATTTTTCTAAATCAAACTTTGCATATTTTAACGAGCATCAAAATATTTGCCATAAATAGCAAACTAAAAAAACCTATTTTTCAAAATTGAAGAGTTCCAACTTTCTGATTGGTTGACTTTATATATACAACAAATTTTCATATTTAACAGTGATATTTCAACTAGTTTGCCCATGGGTGATAAGTAAAGACGAGATCACCCATGGGTTTCTGACGATGGTCCCTCAACTAAGTTCTTTGGCTTGAAAAAAAGCAGAAATCAGTTTAGTGTTAAAGTGGTCCAGGGGGATAATTTGAACAAAAGTGAATGTACACTACCTGACGATGCTTCGGAAGTAATTTGACAAATAATGACTTTCCTGTTCTTCTTCAGAAGATTTTTTATTGATATATCCTAATATTCCTTTGTATAACTATGACCAACTGTTATGGCCCCTCTATAATCCAGGAAGGGGGTCATGATTTGAAAAAATTAACATTTCCTGAGGATATGACCAATCATAGATTTCCTGTTTTCTGTGTTCATGGAGGTGGCCATGTTTGTTGTACTTAATGTCTGATGTCTCTTGGATGTTTTATTTAGATCTGGATTGCTCTAGAAATGTTCCGAATTTTTTTAATGTGCTCAGAGAAATTAATTCTAAGGTCACTTAGAGTTTGAACGAGAGTTCTTCAAACCCTATGAACGAAGTTAAATAGGAGGCACTGGCTTTAGTTAGACTCCCCCCCCCCCCCACCATTTACCATTAGATGGATGTAAAATACAGATTTATATATATATATTAAGAAGGAGAACAACTCGGTCTTCTACATTTCAACCAATCCCCATTGATGTTATGCTTTGAAATTGCAGCTTTTGATATTCAGTAAACTTTACACTGTAACAATGTGATGCGGAATTCTTTTTATCAAAAGGTTAATATTGATAAAATATTGTTGCTACAAGAATGCGTATTTAATAAAATATACTATACTTTAAGGAAATCTAAAGATATCTCTTACTTATAAAAAGATATTACTTTTGACATTGTTTGTCTTAGAAACTAAAGCCTTACCTTAAATATGCCTGCTATTGAAAGGGTCAAACTTGATGTATTGGCTAATAATAGAAATTCACTAAATTCCAAAAAGAAAGCAATAAAGGCTCCTAGAAATACTAGTCCTAGATTTCTTATGATGAGTGCTGTGTCTGTGTAAGCAAAAAAGTCCTCTTTAGTACTCAGCTTAATCCCTGAAAGAAATAAGTTGAAGTTGGGAGCTTTATGATATGACACTTTTTTAAAAGATGTAATTACACCTTTTCAAAAAGGAGTTCCGATGCCTTTTCAAAAGTTGTTACAATGGTTTTTTAAAAAGGTGTTTATGATAGTGCATTATAATCAAGATTTTCAAAAAAAATCATTATTATGCCTTGTCAAAAGAGGGTTATTATGACTTTTGAAAAAAGGTGTAATTACAACTTGCAAAAAGATGCTTTTGGGAAAGGCATTATCATGCCAACTAAAAAGCCATTCTCATACCTTTTGACAAGCATGTACAGATTTATTTGAAGGGAACAGCTTCCAAAAATTTGACATGCATTTGAAATAGGAAGAAAAAAACACAAAACAAAAACTGAACTGTCTCAACATGAAAATCCCATTTTGTGTGTGGGTGGAGGGGGGGATTGGGATCTTTCTCTAAATTTTCATTTATAATTGAACTTTATTTATTAAATACAATAATTTGCCAAAGTCCAACTGAATATTGCAACAAAACATACAGAGACCAAGCAGCCTGTAAATGATTTTTTCACATGGAAAACTACAGCAAGATTATTCTCCCCAAAAGTTGGGTGGGGTGGAGGTCCCTTGTCTGTTTGAAAAGGCGTTGTAGGGAAAATGGAAACTTATCGAGGCACATCTTCACTATCCAAGGGTTTCTGATACTTCCAATAAATAGCAATCAATTCTTTCTAGCATTGTTTCCTCTTTCTTGGTTTACTTACCTTCAAAATAAACAGACAATGGAAGCAGCCCAATCATCATCCAGGGCTGAATATGATACATTAAATCCAGAGGATTGTGTAAACCTAGAGAGAAATTAATGTTATTAAAGTTTGATTTGAACCTTATTAATTATAATGAATACTACTACAGCTTACCAATGCAAAAGAAGGATACAACATCAAAGTTCATCAATCCTTCTGTGTAAAGAAGGAATGTTATATGACCACTGGAATGTTATATGAACATTGAAGTAATGTTTTCCTCATAAAGGTACTTTTTACATTATGCAATGAATCAGATTTTAAATAGCAGCTCATTTCTATAAAAACCTTCATCAAAATGATCACCATTACATACTAGACAAGTACATATTTACTGTACCTAATTTTTGTTTCTGTGTGACCAGTTGAGCAAGAGTCCACCTGAGACCGGATAAGAGAGAGGCCGAGAGGACCATGATGAAACCCTTCATGTTGAACTGCGTAGAGTGGAATGTGAACATGAACAAGCCACCAGCTATAAATAGCACCACAAAGACCAACACCAGCCTCTGTTTGAAGGTAGAATATAATTAAGTTGTGTCATTTCAAACCTAATTTGGTACAAAGCGTGGCAACAAAAGATCGTATTTCAGCCAAAAGTAATCAGTAAATAATCTGAATGATAATTTAATACCAGTATAAATTTGTTAGTTGATCAACATTCCAAATATGCAGGTACTATAATAAAATTCTATACGCCTCCATTTAATACACTAGTGTAAACATTTCCTTTAATTCTTACAGAAACACAGCTTATAAATTCAGGGAATGTATGCCCTCCCCCTTCCCCCCACCCCAACTCTTAAGGACAGAATTCACAAAAATTAAAAAGACATATAAATTTGTAACTTTGACCTTTAACCCTTTTATCTCAAAATTTGTAAGGGTCTTTCATATTTTAGTCAAAGACATAATTGAAGTAAATGTGAAAAATCATTTCATGTTTATCAAGCATGATCTAATAATATTATATACACCTTTTGTTCTCAAAATCAAAAGTAATCCTTTAGTCATTGCAAATGTTCAGAGAACTAAACTAAAAATCTTGAAACCAATGCAAGTAATACTGAGTATATGAATTTCTGATCTTGGTCTTTGACATTCATACTCAAAATTAGTTACATACAGATAGATGCAAGTTTAATGTGATTGACAAATATTGGTATACATCAATGTCCACTGTATTATGTGTAAGAAAATATAGTATATATATGTACATAAGGGCTGCATATTGAACAAAATATTTTGAAACAATACGATACGATATTTTTTAAAGCGATATGCGATATATTGGTTTCTTAAAAAAAGTTAATAAAAAAAGGCTTATGAATCATTTAATGCGTGAATTTTATGAAAAGTTAGTGTTTTATTACCCATTTTAAAGTTCTTGACTCATTTTCATCACAAAAAACACTTCAAATTTAAACTTTTAATGTCTGTAAAATCAACATATTAAAATAACATTGTCTATGTATTTTATATTAATTATAAAAACTGTGTTATTTCCTTAATAATTACCAGTGATTATATGATTATTGATCATTTTTAATTTAGAAATGTGAAATATAATCTTTGGTGATTAAAATTTCCATCTTTTTAACAGAATTAGACTAAAAACTGTATGTCCGATACGTATTGGAAATTATTTTTCGATACGATATGATTCTTGAATATCGATACGTATCGATATATTGATACAGCCCTAATGTACATGTAAATACACTTACAGGCTTCTCTAGTCTGAACAATAAAGAAAATCCTAAAATAAATATCACAGCAGTAGACTTGGTCATGGTATATCTACAAAATAAGACTCAATAGTTAAACAACTGTTCTGCAAGTATGCAACAAATTAACTACATGTAAATATCATAATTAACTATAAAACTTTATTGATAAAATAAGCTTTCACTACTCTTTCAAGCAACCCGAGCGAAATTTCACAAAATTAAAATTGATTGTTCTGCAAATTCAAGCAATCTCCCTGTGAATTTATGTCATATATGTACATTCAGAATATTTTTCCTTCTTTTTTTTTTTCTCTAACTAACAGATTGTATTGATGAAAGTGAAAGTAGAACAGTTGAAAATGTAAGGCAAGGTTAGGCACCTTACATTTCTGTTTCTAAAGAGGTCTACAAAAATGATCTCTTAAAAATAAATCCAAACTTATCCCCCCCTCTTCAAAGTGCAGATTTCTGCTTTTGTTCGAGATAGCACTGACATACTGAAAGCTTTATAAAATATACACAACATAATTAAGTAACATACTTTGTTATTTAATTCACTGCAATTCTAAGAGTTTCTCTTTGAAAAAAAATATCGAAACAATAGTACATTGATACTTACAAAGAAATTGTAATAAATTCAAAACTCCAGTTTGATAATGCAATATCCATAATGCTGGCAATGCCTATGAAAATGAGATGATAACATTTTAGTCACAGTGAAATTTGTGAAACATTCTCATTTGATCTGGGATGAAATAACTTTTTCTATATCAATATGTATCACGATATTTGAGCTACCATATGATATGTATTATAATATTTTGAATTAGTCATATTTTTTTTGTATACAAATGGAAAAATTAACTTTTTGTGAGAAAGAATAATTTATTCATAGAAATTTTATATCTGTTGTAAACAATATTATTTGACAAAAGTGGTATTAATAATTATGCATTTCAAATTTTTATTTAACATAATTATTTTAAATATTAAACCAAAAATGTTAAGCAAACAAAGAAAAAATGAGTCAGAATTTTTTTGGTGATATTTCAATATTTTTACAAACATATGCGTATCATCCTCACATAGAATCGATATCTCAATATGTCATCTCAACCCTAATATTCATATAAGACTAACTTGACCAATATACAGAATTGCTCAAAAGTTGATGAAGAAAAGCTTCTTTATAATTGGGTTAGATTTTTTTTTCTAATTACTAAAGGTAGATTTATCATATATGTAAAATACTACTCCTACAGTAAAATACCAGTGTATAAAATTCTGGGTTTTTATACTCTTACCTGTTGGGGCTACTTTTTTCAAATTTTCACCCCAGGGAAGGAGAACTCTGTCCTCTTTCAAATAAATGGAGAGCAGAGTTCTTAGGAATGCTGATATCATGAATTTCACAACCAGGTGAGCCATTGTAAGTGAAAGTGGAACTTCAAAATGCTGAAAAATAACAAAAAAATAATTTTTTTTATGCATAGCTAAATGTGAAGAAAGAATAGTATTCATTGTATATTAGGGTGTCCTAATTTAACTTAGGATGTTCCTAATTTACCGTCGACCTACATCTGAAGATATGACGTCCTAAGTTGATCTCTGGATTTTCCTAACTTTCTTCTTAAGTCATATCCTAGGAATAATCTAAGGACATAACTTTGGAAGGTTTCATGAACTTGCCTGCATGCAGATTTGCAGCAATTTGACTTATTGACTTCAGGGTTCGACACTAACGGTAGCCCGCTGGCCCGGGACAACTGAATATTGAGGTCGGGCTAAACACGTCTTTAAACTTGCCCTGTAGGGCCACTGTAAATTTTACCAAACGCTCACTCAGAGCAACAAAAATAATCATAATTTACAAACAATGTACCTGATAATTGTTAAATTAATTTTATTTTCAAACATATGTTTTATCATCATAATTATTATTTTTGTAAGTCAAAATGTAAACTTTAAAGGTGATTTGAAATACCCTAAATGATTATAAATGTGGAATGTTTTGAATAGAAAAATGTCTTAGGCACAATCATAGAGTAATTTTTACCCAAAATACAGCCAGAATGCAGGATTTGGTATTCTATTTTCAAAATTTCCCGAAGGAGGCCCCCCGTACCCCCACCAGCGGGAGGGGGAAGCCCCCTCCTACACCTACCCCACTCGTTGCTTCACGACTCGGCCACCAGCATTCGGCTGCTGGACAACTAATACATGAACAGGGCTAGTAGAAATTAGAAATGGCTAGGCCTACTGACAACAATGGTTTTAAAGTGAGTGTCGATCCCTGGACTTACATAAAAAATATCAGTTAGAAAAAAAAGAAAAACATAAATTTTGAAAACATGGAAAACATTTTAAAAAACGAGCTTGAATCTTATCTTTTATATAATTTAACAAGAGGCCCATGGGCCACATCGCTCACCTGAGTAACTTGGGTGATGCAGATCTTTACCAGATTCCCGCTCTTGCTATACCTATCATGCCCAACAACCCCCTTCCCTTTTTTATTTCAAAACTTTGAATCTACACTACCCAAGGAAGCTTCCACATAAATTTCAGCTTTCCTGGCCCAGTGGTTCTTGAGAAGAAGATTTTTAAAGATTTGTTCTATATATTTCTATGTAAAACTTGGATTCCCTATTGTGGCCCCGCCCTACCCCCAGGGGTCATGATATTAACAATTTAATATCTACACTACCCAAGGATGCTTCCACATAAGTTTCAGCTTTCCTGGCCCAGTGGTTCTTGAGAAGAAGATTTTTAAAGATTTTATCTATATATTTCTATGTAAAACTTGTGTGTGACCCCGTACCCCTGTGGTCAAGATTTTAACAATTTAATATCTACACTACCCAAGGATTCTTCCACGTAAGTTTCAGCGTTCCTGGCCCAGGTGTTCTTGAGAAGAAGATTTTTAAAGATTTGTTCTATATATTTCTATGTAAAACTTAGACACACAACCCTACCCCCGGGGGTCATGATTTTAACAATTGAACATCTACACTACCCAAGGATGCTTCCACATAAGTTTCTTTCCTGGCCCAGTGGTTCTTGAAAAGAAGATTTTTAAGTATTTGTTCTATATATTTCTATGTAAAACTTGGATTCCCTATTGTGGCCCTGTCCAAACCCTGGGGGTCATGATTTTAACAATTTAATATCTACACTATCCAAGGATGCTTCCACATAAGTTTCAGTGTTCCTGGCCCAGCGGTTCTTGAGAAGAAGATTTTTAAAGATTTGTTCTATATATTTCTATGTAAAACTGGGATCCCCGATTGTTGCCCCGCCCTACCCCCGGGGGTCATGATTTTTAAAAATATCTACACTACCCAAAGATGCTTCCACATAAGTTTCAGCTTTCCTGGCCCTGTTGTTCTTGAGAAGAAGATTTTTAAAGATTTGTACTATATATTTCTATGTAAAAATTGGATTCCCTATTGTGGCCCCGCCCTACCCCCGGGAGTCATGATTTTTATAATTTAATATCTACACTACCTAAGGGTGCTTCCACATAAGTTTCAGCTTTCCTGGCCCAGTGGTTCTTGAGAAGAAGATTTTTAAAGATTTGTTCTATATATTTCTATGTAAAACTTGGATTCCCTATTGTGGCCCCGCCCTACCCCCGGGGGTCATGATTTAAAGAATTTAATATCTACACTACCCAAGGATGCTTCCACATAAGTTTCAGCTTTCCTGGCCCTGTGGTTCTTGAGAAGATTTTTAAAGATTGTTCGTATATATTTCAATATAAAAATTGGATTCTCTAATGTGGCCCCGCCCTACCCCCGGGGGTCATGATTTTTATTTTTATAAAGGATGCTTCCACATAAGTTTCAGCTTTCCTGGCCCAGTTTCTTGAGAAGAAGATTTTTTTGTGACCCCACCCTATTTTTGTTTTTTCTTGATTATCTCCCCTTGTACGGGGACTTGGCCCTTCATTTGTACAATTTAAACTACCCTTCAGCCAAGGATGCTTTGTACCAAGTTTGGTTAATGGACATATGTGAAAAGTTTACAGATGGACTAATTGTTTTCAAAACATAGCGCAATTTGTAAAAATAACACACTTGAGCCTTCGGCTCAGGTGAGCTAAAAACAGCATACTCTTTCTGAAACTGTAAGTTAAACTTACCCTAATAAATCTCTGATTGTAGAAAGTAAGTCCAATAGAAAAGGTGTAGAAAAATATAACCAAACAAAACGTCTTAACTGCAGTCACCAAAAATCCAAATGAACACAAAGACTGCTTAACTTCCCTGGCCCTTGGCTGAATGGCATGTTCAATTTCATGAAAAAACTTGGCCAAGTTCTTGGTATTTGAAAATGTAAATAAGTATGAAATACCACATTATTTTAAAAGAAATCATATTAATGATATTGAAATATAAACATATGTAAATGAATTTCTTATTGATAAACTGTTAGTAATTGTAAAACTACAAGTGCCTACTCAGTAACTAAACATGCCAAAGGAAAACATACCTTTTGCTATGCCATAATTATCTTTTCCAACTGTAAAAATAACTAATCATTCTCTGTAAAATATAAATAAAAATACAATTATGATGTTTTTGCTAAGTTTACATTTCAACAACTTGTCTATCCAACACCAGCTACGTGTCAGATGTTGCCGAGGAAATTCGAACTGCATAGAAAATCGCTTCACTATTTGCATCTCCCTTCAATATGGAAACAAAAATCTATGATTATTACAACTCAGATTTACTTCATGATCATACCTATATATGGAGTAAATGTATAGAGTTTAGCTGCGACACCTGTATTTTTAGTTTACACAGCTGTCATCTGTAGCTGTTGCAATGATACAAGCGAGCTTCCATCCCTTACGACAATCGAAATAATTTTCGAACCAATAAAAGTCAACAATTGACGGTGAGAGATCCGGAACGAAGTTCACCACTTACACTTTGGGTATGGAACTATGGATGCTCAAAAAGATTAGAAAAACGGTTACATTAATGATATTGTAACATAAAATGCATAATAGAATGCAAAAATAAGAAAAGATGACTCGACCCTAGATTTTTAAAAGGAAACAAAATGGAAAAGGGGGAAGGCATTCCCAGGAATCTAGACCCCACTTTCCTGTATATTTTCCATATTTGTATTTTCTAATAAAACTGACAATGTTACTTTTTCGTTTCCATGAGCCCTTTTTTAAAAAAAACATATATCGATTTCGATAGTCTAAACAAGTCTTAGTCTATCCCCCACCTCCCATTTATTTCAGCCACGGTTAATATTTTGTGAAAGTAGATATTCAAAATGAACACATTATCTGTATTACATGTACATGTGAGTGGCAAGTACATCTATCTATTAAATTATATGAAGTTATTCTTTTATGGTACTGAGCTTCTTTTAAATATCTTATTTAAAAATACATTATGTGAGAAATAAAAACTAAGTAGGCTTAAGGTTTTAAAAAAAATGGTACTAGGTTGAATTTTGTATTGATATTGACTAGATATTCTGTAACGGCGACTAGGAGAAAATCCGACCATGCCAAATCAGACTGGATGAGTTGGGTTTTTTTAAATGTCTCTTCGAGAAATTTTTCACTCTTATTTGTCGATAGAGGACTGCAATTTTAGACTTGTGCTCGACACTTAAGGCCTTTGAGCAGTGAGGGATCTTTTTCGTGCCAGCAACTTTTGCGACACGAGACCTCGGTTGACAGGTCTCATCCAAAGGACCGGCCTCCTTTCAGTTAGATTCGAACCAACGGCGTAAGGGTCAACTCCTGATTACTCTGTAACTTTAGAGCAAACACTGTAACCCCTGCGGCTTTGTGGATTTTAAAGATTTATATATCTTAACATACTATCTAATAAATCAACTGTCATATTTGTCATCGAGGACTTCATTTACGAACTCTCTAATATTACTGTCATAATGTGATTTTTTTTAAAACTAATTTACCAGGTGGTAGTAAATACAAAAACTACAATATTACATTTACGAAATTTTTTATTTTACATTAACACCCGGTAAAGTTAAAAATTACAGTATGACGTATATAAGCATGATTTAAACTACAGTACATGTACTGAAGTTGAAAAGTATACACACATTTCGTTGTCTTCTGAAAACAATACGCAAAGCTTCATAGGCGTCGGAACCGCTTACCCCCCCCCCCCCCACTTTTTTTCCAAATATATATACTTAGTATTATTAATAGACATTGAACATTGCTGCGTAGGTTTAGCCCCCCCCCTTTCCACAGACACGTTGCAGTATTGGTTAAAAATGGGGAAAGTGGTGGTGTTTGCAAAAGAATTTTGGTATGAAGTTCGAACATACCCCCCCCCCCCCCCCCGAAATAGGATTTTCGTGTTTGGGGAATGGACATCCCCCCTTTTTTTTGCTCGTCAGGTTTTTTTTAAAGGTATAATTTTTTTCTTACGCTTAGCCCCCCTACTTTCAATTTGCTTCCGACGCCAATGAACTATGTTCACTCCCGCCCCCTTTACAATTTCACTTCAACATAATTTGCCACAAAGAGAAAAAATAATCGTATTTAACTGATTCATACATCAATGGCTTTAGGGTAGGCATAATAATCAAAATGATACAAAACAGGAAATTAAAGAAAATTGTGTATCATAATTAGTTAACAACCATTAATATTTCAATATAAGATTTATCTATTCAGTCCGTGACGTATAATCTTTACATTTAAGGTAAACGATGAGGATTAAGTGTATATAAATGGGCTTTAAAAACCTCACCCAAGGCAGCTCTCAACTTCAGGGTAAATACGTTAACCAGAACAACGTTAAGAAATTACAGAGATCATCGGTAATTCGATACAGATATGTTCTATCAATTCATTTGAACATGGGGGGCTTGTAAAACATTACCGTGTAATTTGAATATTGTGATTGTTTTATAAATTGGTTGAAGTCATAGACGAAAATAAATTTCTCAATCATTTCTTACAAATTAAATGGACATAAAAATACAAAATTTAAATGTTGAAAAACATTAAAATCAGTTGTATCGATTTCATTTGTTATTTTCTCATTTGAAACTCTCTTTTGTGACAATAATCTTCTGGTTCGATAACTTTAAAAACCCTAAGCCGAAAAAAGAGATAGGAAATTCACGAACTGGATATATGCCAGCTCGATATGGGTAGATTTTACCTGCCTTCTGATAGTCTACCCATTTTTAAAAGAGTTTCTTAAATGTCCAAACAGGTAGCGGGTTTATTTGAGTAATGTTTAATTTCAATATTGACTTTTTCATAGCTTTTAAACTATTTGACTGCTAATATGCAGTTCTGATATTAGCAACAAAACAGGGCACGAGGCAGGTTTTATGCCTGTATTGTTGGGAAAGTTTTCTTCACGTTAGGATCTAAGTATTCAATGGAGAATCCAAAATCAGAACTTTCTGACGAAGCGTGCATTGTGGAATGCAAAATATGTTCAAAATGGGCAACACGACCAAGATGTTTACCGTGTGTACATTCATTTTGTGAGACATGTTTACAATCGTACATTCAGAGGAAGGCCGAGGAGAAAACTCATCTCGGTTCCACAGATGAAGAGAAGTTGTTAACCTATTATCGATGCCCTGTCTGCAACCACAAGGTTAATGTTGCGGATACTGAAATTCCTTCCAGTGCCTGGCCTAAATTACTTCCGTTAAACCGGCTTCTGATCACAGTTGCCGAAAAACTCTCACTTGAGCGCGCCAAATTTTGCGATCCTTGTAAGAGAGGAGATGAAGAAAAGGAAGCAGTTTCTTGGTGTCGAGAGTGTGGAGAGGCGTTATGTGATCATTGTACAACGTATCATAAACGGGTCAAAATGTTGATGGACCATGCGGTTTTTTCCTTAGAAGAGATCCGCACGCAACCCAGAAAAATTGCTGAAACTGAGGAAATCTGTTCTCTACACCCCAGAAAGAATGTAGAGGCCATATGTCACAATCATGACAAACTGTGCTGCATGGACTGTGTTGCATATGATCACAGTGAATGCAAGAAAGTCATGCCAATAACAGACGCAGCGAAAGAAATTAAGGGAAGTAAAGCCATTACAAACTTAATTATCAAATTGAAGCAAATCGACAATCAAGCCGTTTCCGTGATAGAAAGTCGATCTGCTAACGTGGAAGAACTGCAGAAGCAGCAAGAAACAATTATATCTGAAATTCAAAAACTAAGAGCGGAAATTGCAAAGCACTTAGAAGAAATGGAAGAACAGTTTAGACAGGATTTTTCAATCGTTCACAAGGCTCTACTGGAAAAGTTAGACATTCAGAGTAGAGAATTTGGATACATTCATAATGCCATAAACAATGGCCAAAAGGTACTAAACGTTTCTCTTTCCCATGGATCAAGTGAACATGTATATATTACCGCTCACAAACTAAAAAAGATAGGTGAGGAACATGAAAAGTTCATCAAGACAGAAAGCAAGCACATTTACCACCATGACTATAAACTGAAGCTCAATGAAGCCGTAGAAGACTTAACTTCAAAAATTCATTCCATTGCCAAAATCAACATTGATAGAATGCCTACAAACACAGTCCCAACATTTATGAAGGATATGGTTGCAACACATCTTGGGGATCTAAATGGAAAATCTCCATCTGATACCTTTCATCCATGGTTTACGGATGGAATCTTCCTTCCAAACGGCAATTTGGTACTTGCAGACTTCAAGAACAAGAAAATGAAGTGCTTCGACAATCAAGACGTTCTTTTGACTGAACTTGCATTGGAATACCAGCCGTGGGGTGTTGCTCTCTTTGAACCAAATGTCTTGGTCATCACTATGCCTGATCGACCAGAATTGAGATTCATAACAATTAAAGATGACAACAAAATGGAACTTCGGGAAGACGTAATGGAAACTATAGCTGGATGCCATAGCATTCACGTGGAAGAAGACAAACTCACAATAGCATGCTCAACAGAGGTTCGGGTCTTATCCAAAGAGGGAAAAGTAGAAAAAATAATTGAAATCAAAGACAGGGGGACACGCTATGCACACAGAACGTCTGATGGTACATTTGCCTACACAAATAAAAGTGCTATAGTTTGTATTAAGGATAATGCCGAAGTCATGCATTATTCAGACAAAGAACTCCGTTCTCCACGTGGCTTTGCCGTGGATAGAGAAGGGAATTTCTACATCTGTGGCATGGACTCTAACAACATTCATCAAGTGCGTCCTAACGGTAGCCTAGTAAAGCTGCTACTTCATTCAAAAAGTGGCATCCGAAATCCTTATGCTATTGATTTTGAAGTCTCAACAAACCGATTTTTTGTGACTCAGATGGACTGTGAAATTGTTAAAATGTACCGACTGATTACAAATTGGTGATAGTAACTACAAACTGCTGCTGCAATGTTAAGTTGATTAGCCATGCTTAATTACAAAAGTACTTCTTTGCCCGCTTACTTACCTACATGTACATGTATTCTCACAACCCCCTTTTTGAGCACGGTCCACCAGCAAGATTTCTCCACGCATCCATCTACATCATGTCCTTTTCAGTTTCTTTCCTAGTTGTTCTGAATATTCAACACTCTCTTGGTTTTTGTTCGATCTCTTACTCTTTTGACTTTTGGGTTCCAGCAAAGTTGCTGCCTCATGGTGTGGTCGAGGATTGAGGATTTACAAGACGGAATGTGGGCCTTTGCCAATCTCCAACTTCTCTGCTAGTATACGGCTGTTTGCTGGTTTATGTTATGCTAGACATCAGTCTTGTTTATGGTGTTAAGACAGAAAATTTGAATGATAATATACTAGTACAGGCAGACGTTGACAAAGGTCTAATCAGTATATTTTTTTATTGGTAACTGGTAATCCTCTGAGATTTGACTGAACAGTTTTATCTTGACAAACCGTGGAAGATAGTATAATAAGTGTGGTTTGTTGTAGTTTCCATGGCAAATTTTCAATATTTTATGTCAGTCAACCTCTTTATACCCAGTATTATCATTTATCTCATATCTTGGCATTGAGATAGCTGTTGTATTCTGTTGCCAGAAAATTTCATCCTTTTTCATCGGAAGCTTAAGTAAGCTTTAATAACTCTGATATTGATTCTTGACCCATATAAGCGTTTCCACATAAGCCATGTATCGACTTGAATGACATGCTTTTGTGTACTTTTATTCGTTGATGTAATACTCAAATCATTTCACCTTGTTAATTCTCTTCCAAATGGAGTATTGTAAAATTTTAATGAATTGAGTAGAATTGTCAGCGGAACTTTAAAATGCTCAATAAATCAAATATCTGAAAAGCCTTACTTGAATAATTTTTTTCTAGGGGAAATTAAGATTGTTTTGCACGATTACACGTACTTTAAATCGCTCCCTTTTGTTAGAACAATTATTTTTAGTGCTGGAAAGATAATGTATCTGCCGTGTAAACCCTTCCCTGTTAAGATTCTTTCAGCCTTTTCTTCTGTGCTCTCCTGAAAACCATTATTAACCTACACTCAATGTAATTTAATGCCCGTGATGCATGCAACAGTTAGTACAACGTGAAATCTTAATTTAGTGTATTTCAAACTAAATGACGTAATCAACCGAAATGATAAACTGATTGCTTCTCTAAATAACAGGCACATTACTGAAAATTACAATGCACACAAACTTACAAAAAGGTCTTTTGTACAAATATTTCTTACATTGCATAGTGCTTTTACAAGTGGCTTATTCTTATAAACAAAATAGTTTTCAATAGGTTTAGTGTTTGCTCTTAATATTGACGAAGTATTTGGAGATAGATATATATATATTGCATTAACTTATATAATCGAACCGCCTCAATTAACAATCGATTCTACGATTCTTCAACACCACACGTTTGATTTTTCAGTATTTATATGAACAGAAATGTATGATTTCTGTAATTGCAGGCTTTTAAAGTCTTATTTCAATGTGTTCTTTCTTTTTAAATCACAATAAGCAAACAAAAATGTGATCAAATTCGAATTTTCAAGTTTTTTTTTAAAATTAAAAATAAATCATGGAATGATAATTTACAAAGAAAGAATAAAAAAAAAATCGATGTTTGCTCAGAAACTTCCTGCCTGTTTTCGCTATACAGTGTAATTAATGACAGAAAACAACGCTTCAGGAAGCAATGCATGGTGAAGTGAATGATGATAATCTCAAAAACAGGAACCATGATTGTCACCAAAGTTTTCTCCTTTCTGTTTTTTATCAATTGAAATTTATTGCAGATATTCCTTTATATGTGTTTTCCAGTATAAATTTTTTAATGTATATTCTAAAGTATTTGACAAATTAGACATTGTTTAAATATTATGTTGAAGGTGAACGCAACCCCCAATAACATGTAGTAAGCATTGATACTGCTAGTAATCAATTAAAACAAATAAGCCGCCAAAATGTCAAGGTTCAAAATAAAACGGATGCTGAATTTTAAAGCAGACCAGTTTTACATATTCTAGTATGTCTTCTGTCATTTGTAATATTATAGCATACGGTTTTATTATTATTATTATTATTATTCACTTTTATATAGCGCATATAATTATGAAACACTAAAGCGCTTTACATTTACAATATAAAACAAAGGACGGGTACAATATAAAATAGCAAAAAGGTAAAATAATAGGGCATTTTTTTTTTTTTTTTTTTTTTTTTTTTTTTTTTTTTTTTTTTTTTTATAAAACCAACTGATTTGTGACCAGAGCCTTATAAACTGACTTTGCAAAGAAATATTTTATAACACCTTAATACAGGTTTGTATGTTGAAATTGCCCACATGCATGGTGCAGTCACTGTTAAGGAAATTGCCGTCGGCAGTTCCACAGGGTGGCGAGTTGTCAAACCTTACATCTCTGGTACATCTTACTTCGAGGACGTGTATAAGGCTCATAGAATCCCTAAGCCCGTAGTGAACTGTTGTGGGTGATAGGCAAGAATAAAATATTTACAAAACCTACATTGCAACAGACTATTTCCCACCCCACTCTCTCAGTATCGTTATTTCATGATTGTTTTTATGCCCCCGCAAATGAAGTTTTTTTTTTAATTTTGATGTTGCCTTTTTCTTTTGTAGAATAATGTGGATATTTGAATAAGAAATCGAACTAAAGAATGCTTCAATTGTATACTGTATGTACAATTCATTAAAGTCTGTTGCACTCGCGAATGCGAGGTGGTTCGATAAAATTTTTACTTTAAATTTTTTAAAATTATGTTTGGTTGATCTGGTGAACTTTTGCAAGGATGTGGCATTGAACAGTGCCAAACAATAGTGCATTTACATAATCAATGAGATGTCAAAAAAAATTAAAACGGCTCCTGTCAAGAGGATGAAAATAAGGGTTTAATGTAATTACAAAAAAAAACTAGTATTCAGTAATTTGAAGATATGGTTTTGATATCTGGAAGGACTATCCTTTTACAAATGTTAGATGTTCAGATGAATTAAGGAATTCAAATTAATGATCACTCTCCCTTTAGTTGCTTTATTTTGTTTGTTTCTAAAAAATAATTACCAGTAATTACCGAACATTTCTTAGAAATGTATTAAACGCTGCATTTTATTTTCGGAAATCTGCATAGCATTTCCGACATTTTTTAAAATTCATTTCCGACATTTTAATTTTTCATTACCGAGAAAATTTTCTTTTCATTTCCGGAATTTACCTGTCCGGCAATTTAATGTTTTCCATGTATAGGTGTATAAAAGAATTCACTGAGCATACAACTTTTTCATCACATTCAATGTGCACTAAATTAAATGTCAGTGACAAAGCAAATGTCCAAGGCACTTGATGTAAAATATTTTTACAACAACACATTATACTGCTCTCCACAGAATTTAATTTTTCATAGGTAAAATCTTCGAATCTTTTACTAAAGGTACTATCTGAAAAATGTCGGAAATGAAAACTAGAAAATGTTGGAAATGATAAATTGTTAATTACGAAAAATTCCGGAAACGAAATGCAGCCGTACACTGAAAGAAAAACCTAGTGTGTTTCGTAAAGCGTTTTAACTTTAATTTTTTTTAAATTAGTTGTGGGTCGTATAGATACTTAGATACCTAGTGAAAGTTACTCATCAATTCTAAATTTACTAATCTTATCTAGTAAATATACTATTAAGGTAGAGATTGTATGGACAGTGAATCTACTAGTTTTCTTCGTAACATTAACTAGTTATTTTTTACAGTGTGTTGAAAATGTTGAAAAGTTCTGTTTTTCTGTCTTTTGGCTGTAACTAAAAACTGCAATCCTGCATGTTCCGTCGCCCATCAAATGGTATTGTATTTTTAATATAAGCTTGACACATTTAACAAGTGTTTTCTTTAAGATCCGTAAGAAAATATTTCATCCATCAATTTTTTTATTCATTTCCTTTGTCAGAACTCTATTAACGAAATGTTTAGTGTCTTGATTATATCTTGCACTGTAAATGTAGCATTTTTAGAATTAATGTTGCTCATATATGTTTTTGGCGTTCCTATAGATTTCGATCATCCAGTGTGACGTTTTAGATCACCATACATTAAAAAGTATTCTTTGTACCCCAAAGGAAGACCAAAAATGAAATGTAAAATCAGAGAGGAATTTGTCATCCTATTTTTGAAAAGTAGAATCCAGAGCTCCAACTAAGTCTGACAAGGGCTTATACATGTACATGTTTTTGTTTACTGGAGAGGTTCACATCACCTAAAACTAAAGGAAAGATCAAGAATGGAAACTTTATTGTTAAGGGACTCCGATCCTCAGCCAGGAAGGACAACTCTTTAATTTATAATTGAATTCAAAAAGTCTCAAAATGAAGCTTGAAAATTTAATCTTTTCATGCAACAATTTTTATTATATACCTCTCAATGTGCTTCAAGGTTCTTTGAAGTTCTCAGAAAGGTCTAATTAGAAGTCAAAATTTTTACCCCGTAAAAGCATTTTAAAATTACATATATCAAGAAATTGATGTTCATTTTAATCTAACCATAGATACCAATGTTTATTAACATGATATGAAATTAGAAGTGATTTTTGCAATGACAGGAGAATCTTTATACACTTTGAATTGTAAAATGATAGAAGTAAATAAAAGAAATTAAAGTACATTATGTGTATAAAAAATGTGGAATTTCTTCAAAAGGCTGGATACCTATGATTTTTATTTTTGAAATGTGTTAATTGATTAAATTTGAATTGGAAAATGCATAGCAGGTGTTTTTATTCGCAATTCCTGAAAATATATTTGAAATTTACTAATTTTCTCTATATAATATGATTAACTTGAAAGATGAATTTTAAAGAATTATTATGGGTAAAAATACGTTACTTTGAAAATTCAGAGACATATTTGTGAGCATTTTCAATTAGTCAATGCTTGATTTTCAGAACCTGAGGATCGGAGTACCTTAAATTGTATTGGAAATTTGAGCCTGCAAGATTCTCTCGAAATTAATTTTCTTTTTCTCGAAAATACTGTTGCAAATATACGTAGAAATATAAAGATACATCGTAAATATATAGAGGGATTAAATATATAATGAAACTACTTTTTGTCCTTTTTTCAGTCATTGGTTACCTTTTGTATTACTAAACGAACCTCGTAGAAAATGATTGTTTTTGCTAGGGAGGTTTTAGATTCTTTACCTCGGATTATTTTTTCATTTGATCGGGGTTATATAATATTTATTAGCTAAATAGATGGCAAAAACCTAGCTTTATAAATCACTAACATGTTCACAGTTTGTCATGAACTGATTGTGAATCAGTTGAACAACTGTTCCCAGGGTTCATCTGTTAACATTTCAATAATTAATGCAGACATGGTCAATTCTATCAATGCTTAAGCAAAATAATATTATTTGTATTTGTAAATCTGCTTGTATGTAAAAGACTTCCTGAATGCATACGGCAAAATCCTCTAAGGACAGAAACTCACTTAGATGTTAGCTTCTTATCATCAATGATTAGGATCATTCACAACGGAGTCGTAGTTAGCAAGGATAATTTTAGGAACTTCAAATCTAAAACCTGAGTGTATGAGCCTCAAGATTTTTCCCACATAAGTATATAGTCATCATACGTATTCTAAAATACTTTTAATTTGACCTTTATTACATGTATATATAGTTATTCTTAAATAATTCATTATCCATAAATGGATATAAATTGATGATATATATATTTGCTGAAAGATGTTAACAGAGATATTCAAATCATAGTTAAAAGCACCTCTCCCAAATCACAATTTAAGCTGCAGTAATAAAACTCAGATTATACT